CTCTCACACGAGAAAGTACAGCTCGGCTGTCATTGTAGCGTCGACTGAGGCGCGTGCTTAAAAAAATACATTGAAAACGAAATTCAACTTATACGTGTCAACGCGTATATATCTATATATACATATATATATACACACACAATTAGGAAGATCTTGTAAAAGTAACGTGATTGTATTTGACGCACGTTCGAAAAGTCTTCTTCCACTTTCTTTTCGCTGTGCGATGACACTCAACAAAAAGAACTTAATTACAACGATCTCGTCTCGCTATTTTGCAAGCGGAAATTTCTTCATCGCAACGGAAAAAAAGGAACAAGATTCCTCGACGGACACGCACCCAATGAGTCTGCTTTAATGAAATTAAATGTGTGATGTCGAGGCGAGTGCAACTTTCGCAGAGTAAGTTCTATATAAAAGTTGACCTACTAGTCACGTCTCTTTCTAAATAATCAGAGATATAAATGAGGATTACATAAGAAAAATACAATGTATAAAAATTTGCTCCGTAACAAAAACACATGCCAATGGAGTTCACCTTTAGATAAATATGTTTGAATTGAGCGCATAATACTGGATTGTCACGTGTGAGAGCTAAGTGTTCTATTGTCCGCACGGGAACTCAATGGCTTTGTAGAAACATTATTATAACCTTCAGATGATGATGTGTCAAATATTTAACAGATAAACGGGTTAAAAGTAAAAGCGACTTAGAAAATCATTCATCCATAAAATTTGAAAAAAAAATATGTACATAGTCTAGTATATTAGAAAAATGTTGATATCGATTATAATAAATTAATTGCGGCGAGTTGTACTCGTTATGCTCCTATGCTTCTACAAATATCGCATCGCGTACTCATTACATTGTAAAATTATAATGTCTGAAGCTTTTAACGCATCGCTACACAGAGAGCCATCGATGGTAAATATACTTTCAGAAAAAAAAAAAACATATCTCTTCAACGCCATTAACAAGCGCGTTAGATCTTCGAGAGAAAGAAAACCGGACATCTGTATATTCGCGCTTCTCTGAGATCGTTTCGATCAAATTGCGCTTTTACGATCGCGTCTCTATCGCGTTCGCGCGCGCGCGATTTCCTGAGTTTAGAAACACTTTCACGTTTCCGTTCCCGCAGGAGGAACGATTCGAAAAGAGCGATCGACACACTTTCCAAAGATGAATTTTCCAACCGCGGCTCTGTCAAGCGAGACGATTCGGAAAACGGGCAATAAAAGAAAGAGAGACCGCTGCGCGATATCTTACGCTCTCTCCTTCGTGAACGCGATTTAGTTTTTTTTTTTTTTATAGTTTTATTAAACTTCATACCTTTTCTTCTATGTGTGTGTGTGTGTGTTACACTAGTCCAATTTACCCAAGATATATTTATAATCGAGTTTATATAGTTCTTATAAAATATAAATTACGATCGCATGTACATCGTATAAAACACAATCACGATAAAATATATATAATTTAGTATGAATATGGGGCTGTGAGAACCGATTGCAGGGTAATGTGCAGTAAACAAATTCTTTTAATATATTGTCCAAAATATATATAAATTATGAAATATATATAATTATGAAATAGAAAGTGTATTTCCACGAGGACATCGAGATTTGCAACAGTCCTCTCGCCGCCAATATTAATAAAACTATTGCGCTAAAAATTTAAGAGAATAAGACTACGATACGAAAGGAAAAGTCAACGTTCTACGTGAGACTCTTTCCCGTCTATGCGACACATGTCGCGCGAGCCGCGGGATAATGCGGCGCGCGCGCGCGACAATCCGTAAAAAAGCGCAAACGAGCGCGAGCGAAGTGCGTGCCGCGAGCAAGGACAAAGCCGAGGTAGAGGATGGAAAGCGAACACATAAAGATGATTTCGTCGGCTCGTATATATCTCGCAAGAGAGTTTCACCGGTGAAATGCAAACCATTCTTTACACACAGCAGGCATACCGCTGAAAGCCACGCCGGTGAAATCTTCTAGACATTTACTAATAAACAGTGTTCATGCGTGTCTTGAGCACATCATTACGGCGCATCTGCATAACGGCAAGGGTTGTGACGGGAAAGTATCAGAGTACACGTGTATATTTTTTTTTTATACAAGAAGTACGAGTGAGATGCAAAGCTGCGGTTTGATAGAAAAATTCGAAATGTAAATATACCAACGGAAAGTAAAATACAAACGTCGCGAATAACTTAGGAGATTACGTGTGAATAGAAAAAAAAAACAATACTAGAAAGAAAAAAACCAGAAAATGATGAAACGCGAATAATTCTAAACGTTCGATAAATATTAAATGAAAATCAATCGGATTCAATTTTGCTGCGTATCATTTTTTTATCGCGACACGTGCGCGTTAGCTATTGTGAACTCGGCTACGAGTCACTATAATAATTCAACGTGTCAAAATGTCGTGTCGTTGAAACTGAAAAGTCCCCATGTTATCGAGATCACATATTTAACGTCACGCAAAAAAAAAAAAAAAATGAACCTCAAGTCGCTGCACCGCCGACACGTGAGTCGTTTTCAATGTCAGGAACTCGTTTTTCTGTGAGAACAATGGACGTGGCTACGTAACAAAACCGCAATATCACCATTTAACGCCGTTTCATTGCTAGCTACATGGACAAAGAGACGTACATCAAAAACACACGTAATTATGCGGAATCACTTGATTGCTAACCGGATATTATCGGTCCTGTGAGAAGAAACTTTTTTTTAAAACGCGATTGGTATAGCAATAACATAAAAAACTGTCATAAAATAATCTTAGTCATTCGACTCCGCAAACGTCAATTTTAAATTAGATAATTGGTTACGCGATAATAGAAAACACCGAGCTCGTTTCCAAAACATTTTCTGAATGTAGAGTTTCTTCAAATCGATCTAAACAGAAAAACACAATTCGGTCTGTTTCGAGCTCAAAAAGTTCTTAAAATTTATTAAAGAAAAACAAGGTAGTGTAACTACAAATTACAGAGCAAACGTTTCGGCCCTTACTTGAGCCTCCTTCAGCGCGAGAAATATATAAATTAAATAATTACGTCGTATTATACAATTCAAGGAGCTTGATGTTAACGATTACAATATATATAAGTTCCTTTACTTTAATTACGTTTGCTCTGTAATTTTTAGTTACACTACCTTGTTTTTCTTTAATAAATTTTAAGAACTTTTTGAGCTCGAAACAGACCGAATTGTGTTTTTTTCTTATATTTATATTACGAGCGAATTATTTAGTATTATATTCGATCTAAACAGAATTTCTCGTAACATTACGTTTTATGTTTTTACTAATCTTGTTAAGACAAGTCGTAGACCAAAAAGTCAATTTATTTAATTGCAATAATATTAACACGCATTTTGTGCGCTCGCGCGCGCGCGCGCGTGTGTGTGCGCGTGCGCTTTGTAGTGTAGTAATGATATAGCTAATTTGCGGGTTGTGTAATCGTATTTCGCAATAACAAAATTATATCGCGAGTTGCAGCGCTGTCGTCAAAACACTGTGGGTACCTCAGTCTCTTTGTCTCGCTTCTTCCTCGCTGTCCGTGTTTATGTAAAAGGACGGGCAGGCAAAAAAAAAAAAAAAAAAAAAAAAAAGAAAATAACGTCGAAACATCATCGCATGAATAATAAACGCGAACAAAGGTGCGCTCGGGTAACTCNAAAAAAAAAAAAAAAAAAAAAAACACGAAATTACCGTCGAATCATCATCGCATGGATAATAAACGCGAACAAAGGTGCGCTCGGGTAACTCGCTTTCTAACACTTGGATGTGCGTCTAATGCTCGCTTCTTTGCACGTTTTCGAGCTAAGACAGAGTGTTATTATCTGATGTCGTTAAAATAAAAGATATACGCCTTGCCAAATATTTTGTGAATAAAATTTAAACAAACAATCTCGAGAGAACAATAAATTTTCTTATACAAGTTACTTTTTTCTTATTGTACTGTGAATGATATATTTTTAATTAAAAAAAAAAATGTCCGCATAACGTCTGTTTTTGAGTTTACAATATAATAGCAAAAACGTTTATAAAATATAATGTTTGCAAGTAGAACTGCGCAGAGACATGTCAATATCGATGAGCAGATTTTTCCTCTTTTTTGTCGACACAGATTACTTCCGGTTACAGTTCTTGATTACATTCACCGCATTGCGCGCGTGCGCAGTTGGCCGCGGGTTAATTATAAAATGTTACACCTCACTGCATACGCTGATTGCGCTGCACCATACATAATTATGCTTAATAATACGACGTCAGCGCTATTGTTCCGGCACTTCGGTATGCAACTTTTGTGAGAAATTGATGTTTTGATATGTGATTTAGATCACCGTGTAACCTGACCAAAATAAACCGTGTTATTATTTTCAAAAACTCGTTAACAATCAATTCGTTCCGCGTGTCTTGAAAAACGTTGCTTCCAAGACTAACATTTTTTAATAATAAAAGTCTAGCGAAAAAATATTAAGTGGCTTTAACGGAGGCTTATTTCTTTTAAAAAAATGAGACAATTTAAGGTGAAATTGAGGGAACTTTTTCTGTAACGAGCGTAATTTTCAGATAAATCACCGTAATGAGAACACTTTCACACTTCTTGAAGTAAACGAAAAAATCGTTGACGTAAATTATTAGCTATGCAGCTACGCGCGAAGATGCGCTCAAACGTGCAAAGTGTATAATCTCTTAAATATTTGCAAAAAAAAAAAAAAACTCTTTTTCATCGATCGCGCGACTCGTTAGCTTAAGTGCGACGAACGTGCGACGGACATTTCGTGCACATGTCTCGCGCGAGAAATACCGCTTTAAATTCTCTTCGATGAAAGTAGAAGTGACAGCTCGACGGCATGTAAAACGCACGACGGATTTGAACGGATTCGCGAGAAGAAGCATAATAACAAGTTAGATTTCTCGCATAATCGAACAATCTTTTTTAATAAAAACTAAACTGCAATTATGAGAATTTTATTTATAGAATTGTCACCGATATCGTTTAATGAGTCTTATTTCTATTACACATTGGAGAAAAAAAAATTCCTCGCATGTAATTTCAACAACAATTACACGATGTAACCTCAGTATATGTTGGGTTCGTCTTCCTGCGGGCAAAGTGGCTTCCGAATCACCATGCGTAAAGTTCTCTCGTAAAGCTCTCGTGAGGGATCGTCCCGGCCTACGCCTTGATCTCGCGTTCTCGAGTCCATCGTTTCGGACATGCTTCTAATTTCGTTTCTAAGATTCGATTATAAATATCGTTACGTTATTTTTTACGTCTACGATAATCGTAGCTAATAATAATTAGCGTTATATTTAAAAATTCGTAATAAAAAAATCTCGAAAGTTTTAAGAAATTTTAATATTTTCCTAAATCTAAAAACTTTAAATCGAATTTTTTTCAATAAATTCTAGTACATATATCTTGTTTTTTTTTTATCTCAAGTTAAGTAGATATTCGTAGCTAATGATAATTAGCGTTATATTTGTAATAAAAAAATCTCGAAAGTTTTAAGAAATTTTAATATTTTCCTAAATCTAAAAACTTTAAATAGAATTTTTTTCAATAAATTCTAGTACATATATCTTGTTTTCTTTTTATCTCAAGTTAAGTAGATATTCGCGTCATGAAAAAAACATGATTTTACGAGGATTCCTTCATTGTCGCAACGCGTTGCGTGCGCGTGGCGCGCATCGTAGGACTTTTACTTTCTAAAATAATACAAGAGACGCTATCGCGCGAATTTACTCACGCATAGACACCTATGACGCATGTACGCGTGAGGAAACGTCTACAAAACACCCGGATAATCAAATCCAATGATGTATTCAAATTACACACACGTGCGTCTCCTCCCGTCAATCGAGTTCCCAAAGGTGTATTCGTACTTCTTATTGATTGATACGCGAAGTCGTACTTCTGCGTCTTTATATCGCGGTTTACCACCAGCCTTCTCTAATGTTATTATCTCCTGATAGAAAACCATCGTGTCGCGTGATTCATACTCGCTTCTCGAGCTGTATGTATCACGAAGCAGCAAAGCGAGGAATTTTCTGACGTAAAATACAAACATTAGCAGGAATTAGCGGCTACTGCTTGAATAGAGATTATTGTTGAGATTCTTATTCGATGATTTCACGTAAATTTAACGTGAACATGTGTTATGAACGCGCGCGCGCACACACACACGCACGCACGTACACAGAAGAGATATGTTAGATAATATTTTATTATACTTTGAGTTAATATTATTTTTGCTGATAATTTTTGATAGAAATTCTAAAAATTCTTTTAAACGTTGGAAACATCTTGTATTTCTTAAATGTATAGCTTACATCGATCGCTTCGTGGTACGATGTCCCGAATCCATATTCCGTGCCAGGATGCACCTGCCTACCCGACAAATCGTTGAAGTAATTTTGCGGCAAAGCGCAATTTAAGCTTTTATTAGGGAGAATCTGCGGTGGACAGAAGGCGAGACCGCGAAGAGAAGTAACAGCGGTAAAGCTCGAGAAGAGAAATTTGCTCGAATTCCTATCTACATCGCGTACACAGAGAAAGTGCACTTCTTCCCGCTTTCATACGCGGGACTGTGAGTCGTCTCTGACTCATATTGTCACCGCTTCACGTTATTATTAATTTTTACCGGATGTTTGATCGTATCTTGCAAAATCAAGCGTGTAACAATGTATACATAGATGACGGAATAGATACCGAAAGATTGATAATTATGATTGATAATTATGCATTTATATTGCGATTTCTTGCGTTGTATTATATTTTAATGAGAAAATCACACACGCACACACAAATAAAATGCGCAAGAGAATCGTATAGAAAAGTGCAATGAGAAATTTCTAAACTTTTACATCAATAATTTAATTTTCAAAGATAAAAATTTAAGTGATGATAAATGATCCCCCGTTTAAGGATTTTGAAATAAAATCAGATATGATGAATAGAATCATAACGATGAAATATAATAGAGATAAGCGAGATAAAAACTGTGAAACAGCAATTGCGGATATATATCGCCGCAGAGGTAACTGATTTCATATTTTACAGTAAAACTAATGTTTCAATATGCGCGCGTTACCTCACGCAACTTTCTCAAACGAGGTGATCGATGGATATACGTGCGTGTATACGCGAATCGAATGAGTCACGCCGCGCGAGAGAGACGTAACCGCCACTCGCATATAGCACAGTCTGTAATCAAATAGGATCTCTGTACAATTCAGTGAGCAGGACGTGGAGCCGTGAAAGTGCAGTTCTGCACCCCACGTCGTCCGCAAGAACTCCGTTGCGATTTGCGAACAACAATATTGCATACACGTTTGAAATCAACATTAACGTGTAAAAAATATGTAAACAAAAATAGCTTTTAATATGAAAAAAAATCACGATTGTATTTTTGCAACGCGTTTTGAAAGAGAGATTGCGATGTATGTAAAAACATTCGCGCATAAAAAGTCATCCAAAGTTCACACACCGTCCTACATTTTATATTTCTAGAATATTAAAAAGTGTTCCGGCTATATATAAAGTCAAAATAAAAATTGCGAGTACAATGTGTTGTACACTCCTCCTTATATAGGATGAAGAGTTCGGGATCGCGTTGCGTGCGATTCTTCGCGAGCAGCGTGACATCATTTGAAAGTTTATTCGTCTGTGTCGTTTACGCGGGCCAATAAGGGTCAAGCTGATCAACCAGTCGAGACCGTTTCCGGCGGGTATCGTAGTGAGTGTCGCCGACGCTTGGCCGAATGTAAACCGACCGCAATGGTGATACCGTTACCAATTTTTAGCGCGGTTAGCACACGAGCGGACTTGCGGACTTAAGAGCCGCACAATATATACGAGCCACAAACGCTGTCTCTATTGATACTCTGTGAATTCGATATCCAAGCTACGAGATACTGAGGTTTGACACACAAAATCCAGATAGCGAAAAAACAATTTGCGTAAAAAGTGTGGACAGTACAAAATTTTAGAATTAACTCCCGAAAAACATTTTCTGATTCCTATTTCGTTTTTTTGCGATGACTAAACATTTAATTTCTAATTAATACTACGTATCTTGACTGAAAGAAAAGTGGGAATAAAATTAAAAATATACCCTAATTGAACGGAAACTGCCATGGGATTCATTGCGATAATGGTAGCGTGTTGCACTAAATCCACGAAATCTGTGTCCGATACGTCATCGGTATTCATGGAACTTGAGACGGTTTCGGTTATGTCATTTCCGAACGACGAGGAAGTCGTCGAAGTTACCGTGGTACTTTGTAAGTTCTCGCCTGTAACGTTATCGGAAAAAAGAAATAATTATAAACAATAGTAATTTTTTTGTACAATTTTTATAGATATGTTTTCTTCGTTGTGATAAATCGAATCATGACCGGGGTAATTAAAAAACCGAAATAATTAAAAATTGAAAAATAGATTACACGGACTCTCTCTTCGAGTTTTCTTGAAGTAGCACTCGCGGCGCAAAATGTTTACGTGCGTGCTTCAATATCTATCTCGCTAAATAAACAACGACAACGCGGGACTGAATTCCGTTGAGGTCTTACTCGGTTCCGTTCTCTCGACATCACGATCGAAGGTACTCGCGGAGAGCACGGTGGTGTTCGTGGCGGAGGTCGAGGGTTCATCGGGGTCGAGTTCGGAGAAATAACTGGCGAGGTCCTGGTAAGATTCGCGCGTCCTTGCATCATTCGCCACGAGATGATGCTCGGACCGATAAACCGAGGGATTGATCTTCGTTAATTCTTCGTTCTGCGTGGATGCTGACAAAAGAGAAAAATCTTTTTTTTTTTTCAAAATTTATTTTGAATGACTCATCATCGACGTCGAAATATTTACTACTGGGGTTCGCATAGTATTCGTCGATTTTCTCAAAACCGAGCGATCGAGGTTCGTGACGATCGTCGTCGACGTTCTCCACTTCGGAATTAACGTTATTTGGGTATCTCTTCGATTTCAAAAAACGCTTCAGAGGATCGCCAAGGCTGGACAGTTTTGATCTGATCTGCGCGCATCGTGTTTGTTAGAAAACAATAATTTTTTCTCTCGTGCTAAAGTTCACTCTCTTTCGCTTTCCCTCTGTCCGTGTCTTTTTCCCCCATGTTCACTGGCATGTCATGTTATTTAATGAAATTTTTATTATCTCGCTCGTATAATTACATAATCGCTCAACATACACTTTCATCTTAAGAATTTCATTTTGAATACAAACGTAAAAGACCGTAACTTTGAAATGTGTGCTAAAAAAAAAACTAAGTCGAATGAAAAAATATCTAAATTCTAATTTTCCACTCTTAATTTTTTCTATCGATAGCTGAGACGATAAATATTATATTACATTCTCACCTTTTGATTTATCGCGGATAACAGAGATTGCTTATCGGGTTTTCTACGTACTAAATTAAGATCGGTATTATCTACAGAAGCTCGTTCCTGCGAGGAGGTGTCTGAACTTTCCGATTTCGAAGCTTGTTCATTAGTCGCCGTGTTACTCATATCTGAATCATATTGTCGATAAAAAAAAAAAAAAAAAAAAAAAANAAACCTAAAAAGTTCAATATTAACAGGTTTTACAATTTTATAATATTGAAAGTTTTGATGGATTTCTCAAAGATTTTGTGACTCACCCAGTTTTACAAACGAGCTGTTGTTTTTTTTTTATCTATTTCATCCAGTTAACTATAGAAAAAAAAAAAAAAAAAAAAAAAAAGTAAATTGACCGTACGATCTTATTTATCAATTTGAACGTCGTGCGGTTCTCCATCGACCATTGTATCCGCGCCCGAGTGGCTTTTGTTCACGTTAAATTATATATTATCACGCAAAAGTCTTTTTGAAACAATGTGTGCAATTTTATTTTTTTATAGAAATTTCTCATTTTGTTTTTGTTTTGCAAAATACTAATCTGTATGTTAACGACAGATCTTGATAAATCTTACGTGTGCGTAACAATCGATGTTAAAAAGCTAACGCCATAACCTCTCTCGTTTAAAGTACATCAATCGAGAAATTAAAAAACATTGAATTTTCTCGCACCGAAGAGATCCGAACAACACACGAAACACACGAGATACGCGACGAAACCGACCACATGAGAAAACGCCATATTGGGAGGCGCTGATAAAACCAATTAGAAGAATCATAATGAGACTTATTATTACCTGATAGGTGTAAGGTGTGCAGGGCTCGTAGAATTCTCTGCTCATAATAAGTTAAAATCGTCTACAAGCGACGACGGAGTCCACAGCTGACGGGTCGGTTTTTCGGCAAATGTCAAAACACCGGTGGCGCCATCTTGGCCTCGTCCGGAGCTGTCAAGAGCAGCGGAAAAATCATCGACTTCGCGCGGACCACATCCACTCGGTCATACTTCTTTCTTTACGTTGTTTCCGTTGATGGTTTCGCGTATCACTACGTTAACGTTCCGGACCGAAAACGTCGCGTTAACGTCGGTTGCTGACAAAACCGCGACGCCGAACAAACAACAAACGAAAGTTGAATCGTTGAAAATCTCGCGAGGCCGCGAACACACACTTGCCGATTAATATACACACTGTAATTAAGATTCCGTCTAAGTACGTAGCCGGGTTCGTCGGCCGGAGTCGATCACGGTCGGGGTCACGATTGTCTCCGCGAAAAAAATGACGTCGCGTTTTTTTCGCTAGCAATTCGTTTAAATGCCAAATGAGACGCTGATTGCTACGCCATTTTTGTTGTGCGTAACAACGCTCTTGCGCGATCGCACTTGCCGCACGTACCGTACCGTACGCGTTCGCCTTCGGCTATAGACTGAATCACGAGATCGACTCGATTCGAGTAATCGAGCCCAATACGAGGCGCCACTGTCTCTCAGACCATAGACAATTATTACAAATAACAGGCGCCATCTCACGAGGCTTGTAAATATCACGCGATGCCGTTGTACTCGTAGCACTTTTTTTTGTCCGACAATTACTTTAACATCTCTCGTAGGCGGGTAGAAGGAGCAAAACTGAGTCGAAAAGTCCTGAACCATTTTTTTCTATTACATATAGGAAAGGAGTAATTGTTGAATAAGTCAAGCCAATCAGCGCCGACCTTTAGCCGGGCTCACGTCAGTGAACCACACGTCTGGTGTGCGTGAGCGCTCCGCGCGGCTCACTGACGCGAGCCCGGCTAAAGGTCGGCGCTGATTGGCTTACTTTATTCAATAATTACTCCTTTATTATACGTAATAGAAAAAAATGGTTCAGGACTTTTCGACTCAGTTTCACTCCTTCTATCTGCCTACGAGAGATATTAAAGTAATTGTCGGACACCCTGTATATATATATATCTTTATACATATACAGGGTGTCCCAGAATTGCCATACAATCTCTCGTAGGCAGGTAGAAGGAGTAAAACTGAGTCGAAAAGTCCTGAACCATTTTTTTCTATTATTTATAATAAAGGAGTAATTATTGAGTAAATCAGGCCAATCAGCGCAGACCTTTAGCCAGGCACACGTCAGTGAGCGCTCACACACCCAGGCGCGCGGCTCACTGACGTGCGTCTTGCTAAAGGTCTGCGCTGATTGGCCTGATGTACTCAATAATTATTCCTTTATTAAAAATAATAGAAAAAAATGGTTCAGGACTTTTCGACTCAGTTTTACTCCTTCTACCTGCCTACGAGAGATTGTACGGCAACTCTGGGACACCCTGTATATTTATGCACATGTATGCTTAGCGAAAATTTGACGTATGTTTACATTGCAAGTTTACATGGCGGTGGTTAAAAAGTCAGAAGCTTTGATGTTCCGGGTCTTGATGCAGCAAGGATGTCCGCGACAGGGTGTGCAGGTTTCTTCGGCAACTCGGGCGCGAGGTGGTTGCGCGGAGGAGGGATGTTTCCTCTTCTTTTCAGGTTCGATGACAATATTCGCCGGCACGAGAATCTCATCCCACGGGATCTCAATGTCGTCCGGTTCGCAAATCATCTTCTTCGGTGGCAGTATCACCATCGGTTTGTCCAAAGCTATCTCATCCCACGGTATCTCCAGGGAGGAGTCGCAGATTTCCGGACGATCTCGATGGACGGTCCGCGGCAAAGTTTCCGTGATAAGCAGATCTTGCCACGGTAGCGTTCCCACGGACTCCTTTTCGATCACTTTTTTATCTTTGATGATATCGTCTATGGGTACCGAAGCGTCTTCGGAGCGAATTTTTCTGCCCGCTGCTGGCAAAGCAATGTCCCTCCACGGTAATTCGATCTTGGAGTCACAAAGCACAGACTCGTCGGAAAACTCGCGGCGCAAAGTTTGCATATAGGGTTCGTGCCAGATTTCCTCTTCCGGATTGTATACAAAGACTTGTCTCTTTCTCTTGCACCGATCCTTTTTCTTTTTCCGATACGCGTATTGCTTGACCCGACAGCAACATGATTTCTGAAGTCTCGCGTGATGTCCCGCCGTTGTAGTTGACATAGCCGACGAATCGGATAAGTCTCTGTGTATATTTTTTTACTTTCTAATTTTGATCTTCTAATTCCGTGTATCCGTGTTCAAAGCTAAATGTAATTGATTCAAATTTGTAACGAGACGTAAACGTTACAGAGCGACATCTTCTTCCTCTAAGATGGAGTGAGAGACAAATTAGCTGTACAACCATCTCTCTCGGACTTAAACCGTATCACCTGTCATCTTCTTTCTATAAAAATATTTGAAAAATGCTCGATCTATCTGTACATGTGCGTATGTAATAATTTATTTTGTCTCTCTCTTTCTTCATTAAGCCCGTTCTACGTTGATCGCAAGCGCAAACGCAAGGAACGGGTCTGGTAGAATTGACCAATCGTGTTGATCAAATCAGCCAATTGACCAGCGTGATTGGTCGATTCTACCAGACCTGTTCCTTGCGTTTGCGCTTGCGATCAATGTAGAACGGGCTTTGACCCGGTTTCACAATTCGCGGTTAACTCGAATTAACCGAAGTTCGACTTGCTGAGCTCGGTTTAACGCGTTCAATCTTCTTTGTCAAATCTTCGCTATCACAGTTCATGTGTAGGAAGAAAAGATGCGTTACGCCGAGTTCAGCAAGTTGGTCTTTCGTTAATTCGAGTTAACCGTCAATTGTGAAACCGGGCCTTTGTGTGTTAGCAGCCAACCACCGTGTCACCTTAATAGTTCACTTTTCCGCCGCCTAGGCGACGGACGCGCTGTTAATCTGCATTACGATCTACCGTATCGGATCAGCGCGGGGATCGGAAAGTGAAGAATTGGTAGTTTACAGAGATATTATATCAGTACATGATCAAAGACACGTACATTATATATTAGGTAACAATACGCGCATGTGTGCATCAGTGCGGATCAGCTGATCGAACTGGTAATAGATGCTCGTAAAGAGAGATGACAAAGGTTAAACACTATTATTGGCATTTCATAGTGTGTTACGTTACAACTGCTCCAATGTTTTCGAATCTTATGAAAAAAAATTATTACTACATAATCTTTGCGGTACACTCATACGCATGAGTAAGCTATTCGAAGCTTATCGATGACAATAAACGATGACAAGGTCGTTTGCCTACGGTCGCGAAACGATTTTATCTTTCCGTCACGGGGATTAAGGCCGTTCGAATTCAATATAGGCGATAGAATCAAAAAAGAAAAATATGTGTCACGTGTCTTCTGAAATAAAGTATACCCGATATTCCTGATGTATACGCGCATTCTCGCTTTTAGATTTGATTTGACGCGTGTAACATCAATATCCGCGCACGCCATTCCGTCCCCATCCTCGGTTTTAACTTTATATAGGTATACGCTGTATATATATATATATATATATTTTGGTGAGATATATATATGTATATAATACAATACGCCGAGTGCGCGAATTCCGGAGTGATACGTTGCGTCATCTGTCGGCGTTGGTGAATAAGAGCTTGTAAAAATCCGCGCTGTTTGTCGATAAAAGGAAATCCACAACGGATTTCTGACGTTCCCGATCGCGGCGGCGATTAATAAAAATCGCAATCGCTACGTCCGTACACGGCGACGTACAGGATAAAGCGATAAAAACGCGCTGTGTGCGTGTCGCAATTGTGAAATTTGTCGCGCGTGTACACGCGTTTTACTCCATACGTCTCGAACTCGAACTGCCGTGCGCCACCATTCAAGGAAGTGCGCTTGACCAGCGTAGTTGAGCTACGTTTAGAGAGCAGCCATCTTGCAATCCCTAATCAAAGTTTCACGGCTAGCGAGCATCGCGGTGTCTGGTTTGCGGCCAGTTAATATCCACACACTTTCGTCAAATGGCTTTAAAGAGAATTAACAAGGTACGTGAAGATCCGTACGTGCGTGCGCGTCGGCGTCGCGACGCGACCGGTCGTTGTGTGTCGCGTGCCGAGAGTCGTCCCGGTGTCGTACGCCCTTAACATGCATTTTGCCGTAACTAGTGTCGGAGCAGTGTCGAGCGAGCGCTGAAGAAAACACGTCACGACAGATTTCTCGCCATCGTCGCATAACGCGTGTAATCAATCAAATGCGATCGGTATCGGCGATGGCGAGCAGCGCACCGACGCGCCGCGCAAATCATCGCCGTCGTCGTCGTCGTCGTCGTCGTCCGTCGTCGTCGTCGCCTTCCTCTTTCTCTCTCTCTTTCTTTCTCCCTCTTTCTCTCAGTCTCTCTGTCTCTCGCCGCCTTGCTTATAGGCCAGGCTCGATCGCGTTGACAGTGAGAATGCAAAAGAATTTTGTGTTATCCTGCCCCCGATAGGTCACCGGAAATAATGTGAATCATATTGTGGACTTGCATACGTTTCTCTTATACGCATGCACGCCGGTCTTCAGATTCACGGAATTTGCTCCCTTTGGGTGCTCTTTGCTAGTCTCTTTTGTGCCTTTTTACACTTTTACATCGCACAGTGTTTGTAAATTCTTTTTGTTTGACTCATTTGTGAATTTTTTTTGCAACGTGCAATAAGATAAAGTGAGTCATTTAATAATGTGTATCTATATATAATATGAGTGTATCAATGATATTTGATTTGCATTTGTCATTATTAATCACCGAGTGGACTATGGTACAAAGCACATGGAAGACCAAAATCTAAAATCAATCCAATGTTAAATCCAATGAGGCCACAAAGTTTAGCAAAGGGCTATAACTTCTACTTTATTGTCAATATCTTGATCTTGTGATCTTTGGCATTTTGATGATATTAATAAGCTGATATATTTAGAGAGTTGTATGTTATCTAAGATATACGTAATATACTATTGTAACTAATATTCATGTTTTTTTCAATTTTATCGTAAAGATATTATGTGTAAATAAATAAACAATTAACTTATATAAAGAGTTGATACGACATATACATTGATATATAGTCTTAATTGCTGTGCGTGTGTGCATATATGTATATATGCAAAAGAAATATCTAGAAGGTTCTAGTCATATATAAAAAATATGTTGGCATTGTACATTTGTATGTATATATAAACATTAAAACTCTGTACAAAATATTGGTACAATTAGAATTATTGCAATACACAGAGGAAATTTAATTTATTATCTGGTTCTTTTGGTTTATTAATTGTTATTGCAATAACATCTTATAGAAATTATTTTATAAAATTATACCGTGCAATATGTATAAGTCTAGAAAAAACTTGGCATATCTTTTTTTATAAATGATTATGTATATACAGAGATTTGTTGAAATTTATACAAAAAGTATATACTCTATTTTTATGTTTTTTATCTGTTTAGGAACTTCAGGACCTTGGTAGAGATCCTCCAGCACAATGTTCAGCTGGACCTGTTGGAGATGATTGTAAGTAATAAGTGTAGCCGCTATATAATTTATATAGTAGAATAATAAAAATAAATAATACTAATCTCTTCTTATAGTTACAGATTACAGATACAAAATTAAATTAGTTTTTTTTGATTATATTCCTAAACATGATCATTTTCTAGCGTTATAATAATTTATTGATGCTATATGATTTTTTGATAATTTGCATGTAATTGATTTAATATTTTTCCAGTATTCCACTGGCAGGCAACTATTATGGGACCAGTAAGTACTTATTTTTATACAATTGCATAAAGTTTACAACATCTTTTTAAGTTCAATTTTTTTGTAAAAGATTTTTTTATTTTAATAAAATATAATTAAAAAGACTATTGATTTGTTAGTGACTATAATATACATTTATTAATAAACATGATACTAGTAAATATGTATCACATACATCAAGAAAATAACACTTTTATATAAAATGTCTTTATAGAATAATAAATTTAATAATTGGATGTTTCTGTGTTTTATTTCAGCCTGACAGTCCATATCAAGGAGGAGTATTTTTCCTAACAATACATTTTCCAACAGATTATCCATTTAAACCACCTAAAGTACGTAACGTTACTTAGAAATGTGGCTTAATTTTACAGGAATAGAAAACGAATAGCATTGATCAATTTTTCATATGTTTCTTAACGCACAGGTGGCGTTTACTACTAGAATCTATCATCCTAATATAAACAGTAATGGAAGTATTTGTCTGGACATATTAAGATCGCAGTGGTCTCCTGCACTCACTATATCAAAAGGTATGTACAAACATATATTTTGTATATGACATGCATTTCAAAAAATAAAAAAAAAAAACAGCTCTTTAATATTTATCGATTTGTATGTTTCAGTTTTATTGTCAATATGCTCTTTGCTATGCGATCCAAATCCAGACGACCCGTTGGTACCAGAGATAGCCAGGATATACAAAACCGATAGGGAGAAGTATAATGAACTGGCACGTGAGTGGACGCGCAAGTATGCCATGTGATGCGCCAATCTTCGTTGACTACAACATCCAAACACCACCAAGAAACAGTCCCAGCCTATTGCCACTTACGCATCAGCACCGATTCAAATTAGCTATGGCTCGTATACTTTTAAACTTAAGCCAGTATTCGGGCCCGAGGAATCCTCAGGCAAACGTGATCGATCTGAACTTTCCGTGACGCGGGAGGCCCACGAATATTAAAACGTTGCCTCAATGGCAATTCAGGCAATTTTAAAGGTGGTCATCCGTCATTACATATACCGAATCAGACGATAAAACATTCGCTTTGTTTTTTCACAAATAAAAAAAAAAAAAAAAGAAGTGGAAGTAACGTATAGGAGAGTGAAAGTAGGATTTGTATTTGAATCTAGATTAATTTCTAATTAATGTGCTTATAATAATTGTAATATTACGACACCTACTTTCTCAGTGAAAATGAAAAGCATTGAACTGACAGCACATCGATTGTTAGTTTTAACGCAAGTGAGCAATGTTTGCCCGTCCCCTTGGAACGAAATGGCGTCATTCTTTTGTAAGACTGGGCTATATATATTATATATATATATATATAAATATTATTGAAACGTGTATGCTTTGTTCAATCATTAAAATTCCTTACACCTAACAAATTCTACGAGTAACTCTAAATTTGTGCTTTTGGTTCCTGTGTGTGTGTGTGCGTGTGTAGTAATTTAATTATGCATTATCAATAATGAACAGATAAAGACCGTGAGACTAAGTAATCGGACGTATATATATATAAAAACACTGGATATGAAAAAATGGCGTCTAAAATATCTGACCGCTGGCGCATGTGTACCTGCAGTTTTCGCGGGTCTGTAGGATTCAATTATGTTGTGATTTTAATCCGGAGTCAAACGGATCGTTTTGTATCACGAGTTCTTTGACTCCTTTTCGACTTTATGCTGATGCGGAAAAAACATAGTCGTTGGTATCGCTGTTTATTGATAATAAATAATATCAGAGGGAGCGATTAAATTTCCGATTATTTAAATTTATACCACGTTATATATACATATAAATTAGGCAAGTACATCAACGGCGCGAGATGAATGCCACTGGACTTTCGATATTCCGCTGGCAACTCATCTCGCATTGTAGTGCATGATAAATACGCGATATTAAGTTTTGTGCGTAACGTGCGAGTCAGAAATTCGCACTATTTTTCGTCGTTCGCGTTTCGCGACGTTTGTTTTACTCACATCAATACTTTTACTGTTGTTTTGCGTGCTGATATTTCTTTAAACAGCGATTTTTTTTTTTTTTTTTTTTTTAATTTAGTTTTCACGGCCAGATGGTTTTTCTTTCATTTAATAATGTAAACGCGTACAATTGCGACACACGATCGTAATTTGTCCATTCCGTGGACAAACTATAGACTTAAAAATGCAATCCGTTATTTGAACATTGCGATTTCAATATTGTATCTCCGATATATTGTGGCTGTAAAGGGTAAGAACGATGTTATAATTGCATCATTTCTTAAATTGAACAAAAATATGTTGTTAAATTGTCTCTCATTCAGCGATAGTTTGTTTAAGATTACATGAAACTTACATAAGTGCACTGTTTGATGGTGCTAGGCAGTGTGTTTTTGGCTTCTAATTATAGATGAATAAAAATCTGATATGTCATACGAAAATACGATTACTTAATTAGTACGTAAGCGTAACAACTTTGTCTTGTGAATCATGTAAAGCACGCGTTAGAGCGGAAGTAAAGTCTTGATGTAATCGGTGCTTAAATATGGCAAGCTGATGGGGCGACGTAAAGAAACTTATGGGAAGACAAATCGATTAGTATGTAATGCGGCGGACCGCTCTGTTTTACGCCGACCTTGTCTCATACAAACGTGTATTTGCTGTAATTTAATTACGAGTATAAAACGCGTCGAATTTGGGTATATTAAAGTTATAGCTCTCGAGAAGAGGAAAGAAAAAAAAAAAAAAAAATTGATTATTATTCACCTCTAGTAGAAGATGACTATTCATGTGTATAATTAATTATTACTCTACCGCAATAATATGAACATTTTTAATAACTTATCTTGTGTATAATACTTTAGCATTAGCCCTTTATATAATAAAGTCCACGTGATGATAAGGTAATACAGCGGAATCTTTCCTTTCTTTGCGGCCGACCACAAACCCGAGTGTGCGCATGATAAGCGGATAATATCACAATACACACGTCGGCCATGTCTCGCGTTATATATATATATATATATATATATATATCTATCTATATCTATAGCTATCATATTTCTCATCGTATACAAGCTTCGTGTAATTGAAGATTCGCGCTACAACAGCAAAAATATCTTACCTACTACTTGACTTTTGTTTTAGCAAAAAAAAGTCACTAGAAAATCTACATATTTTTTTTTTCTTTTTAATTTCTTAATAACAACTTCGATATATATGTAAATGTAAAATAATTTAATTCTATTCGACACGAAAATGTTTTTTTTTTTTTTTGCGCTCAAAATCGATATATATTAACATTTTTATAGAACCGTAAATTAACTTAACAAACGCAAGATATGTGTAGATGGTTGTAACCACAAGCAACAATCAAAAATTTAGGAATCTTATTTAAATATATATTAGAGCATAAAAAAAAAGAGATGAATGTGAAAGTACTAGAAATTTTGTATAATCTACTTTATATAAAATTATATGATTTGAAAACATTGCGAATAAGAGTTATACCTAAGTACTGAGAGAAATAAACGTTTTCAAGAAAAAAAAAACTTATAAGAAAATCTTTCAAAAAAATAAAAGATCGTTACGTAGATGTGTAAGAAATAATTATACGCCGATGAAATTGCTTCAAATGAATCTTTTATTATGTATTTAATATACTGTGCGTAAACATCGCATTTAATGCGAAGGCTACTCGATAATCTCAAATCCGCGGAAAACCGGCCCCCGACGCTCGTCCAAGCAGTGAAAGTGCCCAAGCACCGGCTCTCTTTTTGCGTCTCCTGAGCGCGAGAAGAGAAACGGTTGGTTCCTAAGCGTGTGCTCTTCACGCGTTCTTCTCGGCGAGCAACCTTGTTTGACGTAGTGCCAATCGTCGCTGTCGTCGTCATCGTCGTCTTCGTCGTCGTCGTCGTCGTTGTCGTCGTCATCGCCGTCACCGCCGTTACTGGCCTGCGCTGACCGCTACAGCTGCTGTTTTGCAATCTGGCGCGCTGCTCACACTGCCAGTGTTCTGCTCGGCGCGCTCGGTGCAGTCGATCGAATCGCGTTGCGGCTTGATACGCGCAGACCGAGGAGGCACACGTGAAGACTGTGTGTACCGATGTGCCGATAGACCGTCTACGAGACGTTGATGACTCTTTGTTTCAACTGTCCGTAAAACCGTTGATTACCGCTTTGAGAGGTATGTGATCGCTTTTCTGTTAAAAAAATTGCTGTTAAAAAATTGAATTTTTAAAGTTGGAATCAAGTTCTTTAGCACATATTTATTGATTCGTAATAAAAAAAAGTAGCCGAATAAAAAAGTAGTTTTTATTTGCAATGCGGCTTTATATCGCGAAGACTAATTAGTAGATATTATAAGCAGTAGGTGTTTTTTTGTAAGTATAATGACACGCACAAGAATAAGAAAACACATATAAGAAGTTCAAAGTCTTACACCGAACATGCCAATTTTATGTATAATGTGTTCAATTCTTTTTATATAAATAAAATGCGTCTATATTAGTTGAAAAAGTTTCTCTCTCTCTCTTTTTTTAGATGTCATGTGTAATTTCCAATTGTTAAAAAAGGTTCCGTCTCCTCAAAAGTTTTTACGTTTTTACAATTGGTGGTTCTGGTAGTGCGATACGTAAATAATTAAATTAAGCGGTAACACACAAACAAATTTCTTCTGCGTTCAAGGAAAAGTTGGACGCTCACTTTGCTCGATGAATTCAATGTCATATTATTCTTGCCTCTATGGTAATAATCGAACTTTGGTCTCAAAAAAAAATGTTTAAATGTTATCGTGAATAATTTAGAAACTGATATACATGCGCGGGTCATTAGCTTGACCTTCGTTTAGACCGTGTATACATGTGATAAAGACGTGCATGATGTGTGACTGTTATATCATTTTCTGATACCGCACAATTAAGTCGTTAGACGGTATTGTTTGCTTCGATATAGTTTTAATTTATCCGTAGTGACAAATATTTATTACTCAACAATTGATATAACTCATTACATATATATATATATATTGAATGAGAAGATAAAAACGTGTGAAAAAATTAATCTATCGGTGCTACGTTTTACACCGTCAATTATTTCACAAGCACATTAATATGACACATTACAATATCCCGGTAAAAAAATTTTTCATGTATAAAATTGCATGGACATATTCGGTATATATAAATTTTTGCACAATTAGATATAATAAGTTTAATTTGTGTATAAGTATATATGATTATATATCAAACATTTTTTAAAAAATATAGTAAAAAAATATAGTTTTATATAATTTTTTTGTATCTAACATGATACTAATAGAGTTATTTTGTAATTTGATATGGAATATCTCTGAAGCCATTCTCTTAAAAAAAGAAATTCTCTGTGTATAAAATTGTATGGACATATTATGGATATAATTATTTTAATTTGTGTATAAGTATACATAAAAAATTGTTTACCGGGATACATATATTATATGCACATAATATTAATTGTACATTTTATAGAGAGAGAGAGAGAGAGAGAGCTTATTGCTTATTAACGTTTGCTTCGTATACCTAACATGTGTGTGTATGTACGAAACTAACGGTTTTATTCATTATAAAAAAAATCGAAGTCTTATATTTGTACAAAACGTTACGCGGGCGTAACTTCTAATTACTTCCTACTTGTAATGGCGAAGATACAATTCGCGCGATAGTACTTTTCACCAAGTGTAGACTTACGATCTTAGAACAGATTCTAAAAAGCGCCTTCGCCACTTTCTCGTAGATTAAAGTAGCCGCGCGATGTATAGAGAGAGTGAAACAGGCTCTCCTCTCTCTGTATACGCGAGAAGACAAAAAGACATCTAGGACATCATAAATCTCGGGACACACTTTTTGTTATCACTTAACACCATCCTTGCGTTAGTGGTCACACGCATACATTTGCAATTTGCGTTCTCTGTATATGTCGAATTGACGACTAGAAATTTGTAAGTAAAATCGAAATGTCTATTCTTTTTGGTTCCGATCGTGAAGTTTCTAATTGAGCAATTTCGCGCGGCTCTCGAGTTATAATCGCGCGTTTCTCAATTTTCATCCTCGTTTGGCCTTCGCAATGCGATTTCGTGTCTCGCGAACTTGGCACATATCAACTCGAAGCATCGACTCTTTATTCGAGTGCGAGCAAACTCGCTTCTAATTAGATCGTTTCGCGTAAGAAAGCATTCCTCTGTTTACGATGGTTCTTGCTTGCCTTTCATTTGCGAGCAGTCTCCTTTTGCGAGAAAGTTACGTGTATCACAACATCACGCGAAACAACAAATATCTTGCAGATTTAATTTTTTTTTGAAAAATATACGTAACTGCACCGAAAAAATTATATTATTGTAAGTGGAAGATTTTATACTTAAAAAATCTTCTTAAAGATTTTAGATGATATTCTTCTGAAATTAAGAATATATTCTTTATTTAAGAATATATTCTTTATTTAAAAATATAGTCTTTTTCGATAGTGAGATATATATGTTTTTCTATATATATATATACAGGCTTTTTATATTCTAATCAGTATATATTCTTATCAATATTACTATTTAGAGGATTTTCCCCTTAAAATAAGAAACTCTTCTTGGCGCCTATTTTAGTATAAAATATACTTAAAGTAAGTGGGATATCCTCAAAATAAGAATACAATTTTTTCGGTGTGTGTACCGAATATGTTTTTTTGTAACATGAAGTTTTTTAAAAGTTCCATATGTGTGATAACTTCATCGACTGTTTGTATACTTGTATTCTATCTATTTTTAATTTTTATATATTTTGTTTCAAATAAAACTTATATAGCGCGTCGCACATTCTCGATTAACGACAGTGCAAGATTATTATCGCAACAATATTACCGCGACAAAGGCGATTGTTCTTAACATTCCCATTATCTTTCAGGAAAACAGGTTTTGAATAAACAGTTCGCGCTGCTTGAATAATGAAACTACTTGCGGGCGTTGAAGAGGTTACCGACCACTGTGAAAAAGAATCCAATAATGGCCAACTACACAACAATAATAGTCATGAAAAGCAATCCGCGACAGAATTGGCACAAGACGCGAGCGAGCCGCTCGTCAACAAGGTTCGTCAACGACCATCCACATTATAAAAAAACGATATTTATCGATAATTTTTAACTACACATACAAATTTACACACCGATATACTAATGTACTAATGTACTAATTATATAACTTGCAAAAAAAGAAAGTTTTTTAAAAGCAATAAACTAGAGAGAAAACCGAAACACAACAAGTTAGAAAATTAATAATGCGCAATGAATGTGCATGCAGTATATGTATGTACATAATATCATGCGGTTTCTCATGCGCGAAGTCGCGCGGTATAGTTCACTGCAGTCGACACAACGACTAAAAGATACAACACTTTGCGGAAAAGCCGTGAGTGATCAATAGCTTGATTTTGGAGACGGTAGCGCGCTAGGGGCGTTATATCTGCGATATGCTCCACTTCTTCTTAATGTTGTCCACACTTCCGTTTTGCAAACTGAAGACACACGCGATTACGACTTTCTAAAACTGCGCAAGAATCTCGGTGATTTTGCATTTCTCTTTTTTTTTTTGTTACACACACATTAAAATGATGTTTTTTGGTCCCTTTGGCGAGCTGTCGCGCAAACTACGTGCGATAACGAGCTAAGGTTCGACATTTGTTCTTCTGAATAATATGACTATGTTTTTTCGGATATTTATCAAATTGTCTCTTGTACGTATCGCTTTTTCAAATTGTCGTGTCGTGGAAAAGTTATCTGACGATTGTTATTTGTTGCTGAAACGGTAAAGGTTCTAATCATGATGGGGTATAATACCGGTGTACAATAACTTGAAATCGATTTCGCTAGTGCAAACTTATAGCGGCTACGAAAGAGAAGAAAGCGCAGACGACGTAAACTTGACACACTCGGATGAAAGGCAGGTCCCGTTGTGGCCTACTTACCGCATTTGTATCTTTGCGAGAGATGTAAAGAGTGTGATGACTAAAACGTTCTTGCATCCTCTTTCCTTTCTCATTAGGAGCGTTTTCTAAGCGCAGCGAATTTTCCAATCCTTCCGCAATTTACTTTGAGTGACCTCAAGTACTTGTGTTTGTTCTCGAATATCACTTTTAGCGAAACTATAAGTGTAACGAATCTTGAAAATATATCTTTGCTATTTAAATATTTTTAATATAAACAAAATTATTATAATATATTTTCATATTACAGAAACTTATTCGGTATACACGAATATTTTTCTTTTTTTTCTAATTACTTCAGAGATTTGTCTTGGATACACGAAGTTTATCGTGTCGTGATAAGTCACGTCATCTTATTGTTGCGATCATTTTACATCGCTTTGGAATCGTTCGGAGAAATATGAACGAGAAATATGAAAGCACTTTATCTTGTTTAGAATACTGCGATAAAACGCTATTGTACCGATATATATATAACTTATATATGTGTAAAGCTACTTATATATATATATATATAACTAATATATAACTTATATATGTGTAAAGCTACTTATATATATATATATAAGTTATATATATATATATATATATATATATATATAACTTAGTTATATATATATATAAGTAGCTTTACACATATCGCCAAATTGATAGAGTCGATTACATGTACAAAAGTAAAGAGATACGATTGCTATATCAATATTTGCAAATAATAACTTTTAGTTATTTTAAAAAAGTAAAAGTGCACGCGACACGTTGCGTGCGTACGATTTCCGTTTGTGTAATTTTTTTTAACGATCATTTGTGATCAAAAGTTATACGTTATTTAATTAAAAACGAATAGCAATTTTCTTAATTTTCTTGTTTAGTGATACAAACGCATATCAACTCAAATAACATTCTTTTCAATCTGACTTGTATTGTCATTCGAGAGAAAGTACCGCAGCTTTGATGTATAGTGCGTGTATACGTACGCACGTAACAATTGTGTAAAAATATTGAACATACACTTTTATTATCCATATTGCGAGAAAGTCTACAACGTTACGAACGTTTCTTTGCGAACACATAAAATGCTAAACATTCTTCTGGATTTTTATAGTTCATTTTTGCTATGTATATACGCATATTTTTTTTGTTTCGAAACAGTCCTGCGACGATTCGACGACTAAGAGAAAAATCACACCGAAAAATGAAGAGAAGATGAGACGATTGCTTCGGTTCGAAGACGCGCCCGAATTTCTGCAGTATAATCCGTACATACTGAACGGTTATCGAGGCTGCTTGACGACCAAATTGTGTTTGGAAAGGTTTGAATTTAATTATTTTTTAGCGCGTAATCTCGAACGTCAAGTTCTTGATGACGAAATAAAAGCAAAATTTCTCGAGCCACAGCGTGCGTTCTATCTTACAGAATGACATTTTACGTGTTTTCAGTATATTCTGGTGGACAAACGAAACCGTGAACATATGGAGTCACATCTTCGGCTGGATGCTATTTTTTGGTCTGACTCTGTACGATCTTTGTCTGCTGAATATTCACGCGCCATTTAGCGACAAAGTGATTGTTTCCCTGTTGCTTCTCTGCTTTCAGGTATATTTAAACGTTTAAAAAAAATCTACGCACGCGCGATTTGTTAAAACAAAGAAAAAATAAAATAATATTCTACTCCAGGTGTGTATGATTCTCTCGTCCGTGTATCACACGTTTTCATGTCGAAGCGAAAAGGATTACTGGTGCTTCTTGTCCTTCGACTTGTTCGGTATCGCTCTAAGTATGCTGTCGATTTACATGTCGGGTGTCTACTACGCTTTTTGGTGTCACAAGGTAAACGTTGGTAACGTAATAAGAAAAAATACAAATAATAAAAAATTGAAATTTCAATTCAATAAAAACACGTGTAAAAATTTACATGTGAACATATATATATGTATACATATATATAATAGAACATTTATATATATACATATATATAATAGAACATTTCAGCATAACATCCTGCAAAGCGGCTCGTGTGATCTTATTCTTATTCATTTCTTAGTTAAAAAAATACAAATTTCTAGTATATTTGTGTGTGATTTGATGTTTGAGTGATAAATCGGTTACACTTTTTGCAGGAGCTGCAGCAGTTCTACCTGATAACTGTGCTCGCAATTTTTATTTTCGCGATGGTGCTGCAGATACCCAGTCTGAACGTCAACGATAACATTAAGCTAGTTGTGTTCGTGAGCTGGGCGATCTATGGAGTGCTGCCGACGCTTCACTGGACCGTCGCGATGGGCGGCTTCGATAATCCAATCGTTCGAATGCTCATTCCAAGAGTGATAGGAATGTACATTATCAATGCGATAGCGTTCGCGTTCTATATGCTCAAGATACCCGAACGTTTTTGTCCAGGTAATTATTACCGATCCCATCCGGAATGGCAATGTTCTCTGATATACACTTTGCTTGAATTATGCAATCTCATTGTACACATTATCATGTGCCAACTTAATGTTCGTAATCATCGTACAGGCTGGGTAGACTACATCGGTTCGTCGCATCAATGGTGGCACGCGTTGGTTGTGTTGGCTCTTTACTACTGGCACAACACCGGAATGCTTTATGTAGAATATAGAATGAATCATGGATGTCCGAGCCGTCTAACGTTATGACATACGGATTTTGACGACCAACCAGGTAATAACGAAATAACATTCACGATTCATCAATCGTTGCGGTATTGATTCAATTTTGCAATTTTGAGCACACACAAGAGCAAAACATATGTTTTTGATTGACAAAATAACATTTAATATTTCAAAAATATCTGATGTAAAAATAAAATATTTGAGAAAATATTAGAAACTTATTAGTTTTGAGAACTTATCGTTATTTCTCTTCTCTTGGAAAAATAAAAGCGCTAAAAATATTACAAAAAAAAAAAACAAATCATCTTCTTTCGATCTCTCAAAACATTTACGTAGTTTCGTAATAATTCACAATTACTATAATTACTGAGATGAGTTTGAGGTTTGGGAAATTGCTTATATACTTTGTTACAGCATCTGTTCTCGCCATGGACTGCTCTTGCATGATGAAGGTGGGTGCTTGGTCGTCTCAGGTTTTAGAATTACCGTTTTATGGCATCTTCAAGAATTCATCTTGCGAAATACGAAATCCACTGCGAGTGTACGCACATCGATAGTCTTTAATATATTTCGTTTCCAGAAAATACATCTTGCGATTTCGAAGATGAAAAAACTTATTGTGGATATATTTATTTAGTATCTTTATTTATATTTACTTAAAAAAAAAAACAACAATTTTATTTATATAATGTGATTTCTTTCTTCCTTGATATTGTTAATCCTATAACAGAATTAAGAATACATTATATATATATATTTTCTTTATATATTATATCTTTTGCACGACATTTGTTTTAGAAATAATATAGAGAAAGAGATGAGAGAAATTAATTTTATTTCAAACAAAAATAAAATTCTCTACTAGCTGCTGATATTGACGACGATGTGGTAATCATCGAAATCTCGACAACTGATAATCACGCAACACGACATTGTGACATTGAAACGCGGTCAAAGTCACAATACGTTAAGCAACTTTGTAACTTTCATTAAACTCTCACACACATACATATTTACGCGTGTGACGCGCACATTTTGCAATTTGCGTGCAACAAATGAAACCTGTGTAGCATAATAAAATCGCAACGTACGAGCGTAAACATCCGCTGTTTCTTTTTGTACATACATGTACAATACACATATGTATGTCCGTATATATTTGACTCGTTTTTCTTTTTTTTGTTTTTTTGATGGAAATATCTGTTGTTGTTAACGTTCCCTGAATTGTTGAGAATAAAAGAAATAAATATTTTTTACTAATAAACAGACAAAAAAAAATTTCTTCCCACTTTTTTACTAATTTATTTTTTTTAATTTTTTAATAAACAGAGATATTCCGTCTTTTTTTGTGACAAACTAAACATATTTTACTGTATAGTGTCTATTGACGTGTAACAATTTAAGAATGTTACTTTTTGAAACAAGACGCCAGAAGAAGCCGCCAGCACTGTTCTTTTTTCATCAAAGCTCAAATCTTCAAAGCTTCAGAGCGAATATAAGAATTGGACATCGACCGTGCAAAATATCGATTGGCTTCGGCCTTTAGAAGGATTTCGATAATATATTTTGCGCGTGCTCGGTAGATGTATGTAGAGCGACGCACGAACTACCCCATTCTGCTGAGAGATGGCGCCGCACGTAGGAAAATCAAACAGCCGGTATTTCAAAGGCTTCAGTTTATTTCCGCAAGGTAATTGCGCGCGTACTTTTTATACTGTTTTGTCGTGAATTTATGTTATGTTATGTGAATTCTGTGTGGGAAACTTTCCAAAACCGTTACAGAAGCGAAGAGATTTCTACTAACCCTGACAAGGTATGCGAGTAAATACGTATAGTTTGTAGTTGATACGTGTTGAAAAGAGTTTTTCGAATTTATTTGCCATTTTTTTTTCTTTTTCAAAGTTTACTTTTCTTTTCGTATATCAATGTGTGTGTACGCGCGCGCGCGCGCGATACATAATATCAATATTATCATATTTATTATATCAATATAATAATACATAAATACATGTATTTATTATTCCTTGCTAATTGTTAATACAAAATCCGCTAATATCTTGTCTATCGTGATAAAATAATGATTCGGCGCGAAAGGTCTACGCGATATCCTTCCGTCTGTACTGAAAGTCCTGTAATCTCTTCTGCAATTCTTTTGCGTTTCACGAGCGACTTTCACTTTTCCTCCGACAATGCGTCTCTTGAACCGAGCGATTCTTTATCCGTGCGAGAAAGAAGAGGAGCATGCACGCGCAGAAAAGAGCAGCTTGTGGAGACGGTAGAATTTACGTAGCACTTAATCCCGGCGCTTAGAAAAGCCTCGGCAAAATCACCCTACTTCACATTCTCGGGTACCCTGTTTCTCTCTCCGTTGCTCCGCGCCTTCTTTCCTCGCCACTCATCATCGCTGAACATCCTTGCTTCTCATTCGAGCATCGCTTGTTCGCGTTTTTTATTAGCTGCTGAGAACAGCAATATTTCCGCAAAGTGTATCTTATTAGGCGTCACATCATTTTTCATGCCGTACGTTATTTATGAAATAAGATAGCAAAAAAGTGTTTTGATATGAAAATAATAATAAAAAAAAATGCTTTTATAACAAACAATCGGTATAATTGCAAGTGACTTTGATAGAGAAATTTATTTTTTATTTTGTTGAAAATAATTTAGAAAAGTTTTCAATAATATTGCTCTCTCTCTCTCTCTCTCTCTCTCTCTCTCTCTCTCTCTCTTTTCTCGTTTCACAATCTCTCACAATCAGTTTCTTTCAGTCACTTAACATTGCAAATTAAAGCTTTTTTACACCGAAAAAATTTTATTCTTGTTTTGAGGAGAGAGATATCCCACTTACTTTAAGTATATTTTATACTAAAAAATAGGC